CTGGAGCAACAGCAGTCTGTTTTCAGGCAGAATGGGACACATTTACAGACCCAGCTAGACAGCTGGGAGGCTGAAACAGAAGAAGGAGCTGCTGGGGTACACTTTCTTCTTCTGCAAAGATAGCATCATGCATATCCTACAACCATACTGCATCAACAGGTTGGTTTGTTTTTGCACTGATGTTTTTCTGTGTCTGTTTGGTGTGTTGACAGTGGGCGTGTGGCACTGCTGGCATCCATGTTTTGTACCTCATGTTTACAACAGATCAAGTGTAAAAGGTCTGTATTGAGTGTAGTTAAAAAGGACTAGCTTCTGTTTAATATAATATTATCATCCTTGCTTTTTAGACACATTCTTGAGTGCATAATAGCAGCCCACAAGTTGGATTTGCAAATGATTAATACAGTGAAGTAATAAAATACCAGGAATTCTCAAATAAAACAAATCGTCTAATTATTCACGATTCTCGAAGCACTTTTATCAACTCATTTGTTGCTGTCTTTCTTTTTGCTAAAGTCATTAGTAGGGAGACTCCCTCTCTGTGTTCATATGGTGAGATTTCTGAAAATGAATATGCAGTAGGAGGGTTTGTAGCTTTGCAGTCGGGTAATGTTTTTTCTTTTCATGACGTGGGAGGTGATAAGAGTTGTTAATGCATGTTAGTGAGCCTACGAACCACACTAACATAAGCTCCCACCCCACCACAGCATCTTCCAGCTGACGATTTTTCAGTTGATGCTCTCAGGATGAAGCTATGGACTGGATGCTGGGTATGTCTTTGCATACTGCAGCATTTGTTGCAACTGTAACACCATCTGCCCTCAGGTGTATTTATAGCCACTATATGTAATTATAACACAAATCAAAGCTTTGTAGCAGTGTTCATTCATTTAGCCTTCATTTTATCATTTTATGGGGTTAAGGGGAAAGAAGGGAGGCGACCTGCAGCATAAGTTGGCGGCCAGACTCAATTTGCTGACGTTGCACACACACACCGTGCCTGTGTACATGGTGTACAGCACTGTAACTATTAGACTATTGGGACTATTAGGAGGTAACTGTCATGCCATCCAACTAAATCAATATTCACTGGTGAGAAATCCTGGAACCATCAAGGAACCATTGTTTTGAGGATGGTTGTTAGTGATGTGCAACAGCTTTGAGAAGCTAGCAACAGTAAACCCAGTAAAGCTTAGCACTTTGCACCCAACTGTTCATTTTCATTCAGCTCTAGTCATTTAGCCTTTTTCAAGTCATTGCTATTGGTTTCCAGCCCACAACTCAGTTTATAAACCCAATATACAATTCCTACCCATGACCAATCAGACAACATTAGCAGCTAACTAGTGAGCACAGTGGAATGTTTAGCAGCTAAAGAGCAATGTATTTCCTTATGAAGTTGGTGGAGACCAAAACAGAGCTAAAAGTTAGATGGAATTTGACCTTACATGCACTAGGTGGATGTAAACAAGCTTCAAATGAGATAGTAATGTTTCTCCATGTCTGTTGGTTGTGTAAATAAACAACTGTTTGCTAGCACAGTCACAGTAGCAACTTTAGAAGGTGATGATATGTCCGTTTTAATATGTTTTAAGGTTGTTTCACTGCCCTCTTGTGATGAGACATGAATGGATGCGACTATATGTTGCACAGAGAACATTTTCTTGCAGGTTTATTTAGACATCTACCATTTAACATTGTAGATTGCATTGTTAGTGTTATTTGTACTCACTGTGCAAGTTTGTTTTGACTTGAGGTTCACAGCCAAATAATTATTTCAATTGGTGTGTTTGTGTAAGTGGATACTAGACTTGATGAAGACTCTATTTACCTAACCTTCACCAAACTTTACATTTGAGTAATTAGTGTATACAGACCATTCAATACTGACACAAGCTCCAAAAAATTATGTTTATTGATGCTTTTGCTTTTAGAAGATGCAGAAATAATAATTTGGGGCTTTCTTTTATGGTAACTCATCACACAGTGATTTCCAGCCAGAGCAGACAATTCCCTGCCATGTCAGTGCCTGGCCATGTGCACGGCAATACAGTCTATGTTTATTCTACCGTAAAGAACAGAGAAAGAGACACAAGAGATTGGATTTGACAGTAAGTGGAAAAGGGAGGGAGGAGAATGGTGTTACCTAATACTGCTGTTGGAACTTTAGAGAGGAGAGGAGAGGGGAGAGGGGAGGGGAGGGGAGTGGGGGAGAGAAGAGGATGAGGAGAGTTGAAGACAGAAGTGAATGAGGAAAGAAGGAAAGCTGAGGGAGAAATAGGGAAAATCCAGAATGGAAGGGACAGAGAGACAATTTATGGAGCAGAGAGGGGGAAATAGGGATGGTGTGGAGCAAACAGCCAGACATAGGGGTAGTCAGAAAAAGGACAGGAGAGACAACAGTAATCCAAACTTGCTGCTACTGTAGGAGCAAACACAGACTCCACCCTGTGATAGTGAGAAGAGAGGTAGGAACTATAGAAAGAAATGGCAGTTGGGGAATTATCTAGGTACTGGAGCATGTCTGTACTGTACATACAATATGTGCTGGCTATGTGCATGTATGTGTTTGTCAAGGCACGTGTGTCATTGGTCTAGGTATGAGTCATTTGTTCATTTGTTTCTGAGTATTTCATACAGACACTTGTAAATTATGTCACTGAGAGTAAAAAGAAAATGTAGTAACTATATGAGTAACTTTGGACTTTTTTCCCTAAACAGTCACATTAATTAAACACAATAGTCACATGTTTACAACACAAGTGGCATTTAAGTGGGTAATTACTAACTCAAACAAGCCACTGCACAGTTACTGTGTAGCAATGGAGACAGAGGGATATAAATGAGAATAGAGTCTACAGCCAGACTTTACATGAGGTAAAAGCTCATATCAGCATGCTAACATGCTCACAGCGATAATGCTAGCATGTTATATTTCACAGGTATAATGTTTACCATGTACAGTGTGTTAGCATGCTAACATTTGCTAATTAGCACCAAACATTAGTGAAAGCGTGTACTAAATTTCACAGCAGTCCATCCAGTAGCATTAAAGATATTTCAATAAAAAGAAACGTCTGTACCACTGACGGTATATAAATGTTGACACTATAACTCCCTGAAGTGAAGCCGCTGTGACTCGATCTCACTGTGGTGGCTGGTTGCAATATAGGTCATAATCCCCACCTCCTCCATGTTAGTGGATGGGACATGAGCCACACTGAAAACTCAAATTACAACTCAAATACATTTTTCCCAGAGGTGATTTTTGTGGGTTTTGGCAGATATTATCACACCGATGTGTGTACAAGTGGTCTTTTCTTGGTATGGTTGTTTTTAATAAGCTATTGGTCTCATCCGAGACGGTGACATGTCAGCCTACACACGGGAGGTTGAGCAGCTGGTCCTGTGGTGTGGTCACAACAACCTGGAGCTGAACACACTCAAAACAGTGGAGATGACAGTGGACTTTAGGAAGAGCCCCCCCACCTTAACCCCCCTCACCATACTTGGCAGCTACTAAGAAGAAGAAGAAGACTCTGAACTGGTGTGTTGTACCACTGAGTGTTTTGATTTACTTCATCTCAGCAGCTAGTGGACTAAAGGACATATCGAGGCATCGAGTCTGTTCTCTGCATCTCCATCATTGTCTGGTTTGGCTCAGCAACCAAACAGGACAAGTACAGACTTCAGCGGACAGTCAGGACTCCAGAAAAGGTCATTGGTGTGAGCCTGCCCTTCATGGAGGACCTGTACACCTCATGGGTCAAAAGGAGGGCAGCAAAGATCACTGCAGACCCCTCACACCCTGGACACAATCTGTTTGAACTCCTCCCCTCTGGACGGTGTTACAGGTCATTGTGCACCAAGACAACCAGGCACAAGTACAGTTTCTTCCCCCAGGCTGTCACTCTGATGAACACTTGACTCACGACAGTATGACTGGAGAATTACTCTCAGTGCAATACCTGTGTATATATACATTGTACGGATTATAAAGATCCATATGGGTCTCTATTTGTTATACTACACAGCCCTATGTTAGTTTACTGTTTACTTGCCCCTTGCATGGGGATATGTACATGCACACTGTGAGCCGATGTACCTGAGTCAAATTCCTTGTGTGTCCAACAGACCTGGCCAATAAATCTGATTCTGATTTCTGATTGGATCATATAAAAATAGGTGTATTTCAGTTGATTTGACAACTTTGGTTGGCGGTTTGATACGTCACTCAACAACTCTGTCGCTACTGGTTAAAAAACACAAAACGGCCCCCCGCCGTACTCATGATATTTTGGCTTGACTTTTGCATAGTGGAAGGAAGTGGCGACACATTATTCATATTTATATACAATCTATTGTTTGTAAAAAAAAATTAAAAAAAAATTGGCAGTTCATCAAATAGTTGTTGAGATATTTTTGCTAAGTGGACTGACCAACAATGCCATCCCTAGAGCCATTCCACTAGCATGGCTTCAAAGAGGATAAATATCAGCTAACTACAATCTGTACAGTATTGTTGACCATTATCAAATGCAAGTTTTACTTTTTTTTATTATTATTATACTTCCTACTCTTTCAACCAGCCGCTGGTTTTCATTCATTTTTGGATTGTATGAATGTTACACAAACTGTGAGCAGATTCTTAAAACGTTAATGATATGGTGCACATTAAATGTTCAGATTTTGTCATGATTACACTATTGATCTGTGGTAAAGCTGTTTGAATGCTTGAAATGCTTGAATTATACCAGAACATTCTTTTTACAAAAATGAATGCAGACTTGTTCACTGTGAGGTGGTGCAGAACTCTGATTTTCTGACATCTTGCAGCTAAACGTTTAATCTGTTAATTAAAAAGTGTCAGATTAATCAATACTGAAAATAATCATAAATTGTGGCCCTGGTATGTATAGTGATTGTTTTAAAGTAAATGCTAGTATATTCTTACACAAACCTTTTTGTTCCCCCCCCCAACCCAACCCCCACATCCCCAGGTGGCCAGATGTGCCAAAGAGAAAGAGAAAAAACAGCCAGTGTTCGGTGAAGAGTATGTCTGGTAAGGATTTGTCATCTTGGTGTTTTTGATGTCTCCAAACAAGAAGTGAACACATTTCAAAACATGTTGATTCTTTTAGATGTGCTGGAGGATTTGGATCAGTTGGATTCATTCTAGCCCATTACTCTGCAGCTAGCTCCTCTAGGCTTCAGAATGGTGTTCTCATTGTCATTACTGTGATAATCTCCTCATCATCATTTTATGTTTTCTCTCAGAGGCATCCTTCAGCTAGTTCACCTAAGTGACAAAGCCTAAGCTTGAGGGATTTATTTGGGTACACTATAGCTGTGTAGAAAGGTACAGGTACAGTGTAAAAACTTCAAAGCTGGTCCCCAAATGCGAATTACAGTTTCACACTTTATTTAACACTCAAATTACCCAACGCACACACTGTGCAAAAGTCTTAGGCCATCATTAGTTCAGCTGTTTTATCAAGGTTGTAATGATAATTTAGTCTCAGTCTCTTTATTAAGATACAGCCAGAAAATACAGGAAATATGTACACAATACTTATAAAAACACTTTCAGAACAAACTGCCTTCTGCAGTCCCAAGTTATTTGTTTAGTGTGACCTCCCTTTGCACTTAGCACAGCTTGAATTGTATTGGGGAGATGGTCTTGAAACCATGAAAGACCCTCCACCATGTTTCACTGAAGGCTGTGAGCACTCGTTCTTCCACCTCTCTCCAACTCTTCTTCTCACATACTGTCAATGATTGGAGCCAAACCTTTCAAACTTTGATTCATCACTCCTCTTTTCCACTGATCTTCACTCCAATCTTTCGAAGCTTTTGCATATCTCAGCCTTTTCTCCCTGTCCCCTTCTGAAAAAGGGCTGCTCTTCTTGGCTGCTGTCCTTCCACAAAGGCCGTTCCTGATCAGGCTTCTTCGGACTTTGGAAGGACCAACTAGGCATCCAGATGAAGCTGCCAGATGCTGAGCCAGGTCACTGCTGGATTTCCTTTGGTGTCTAGAAACTCTAGAAACATCTCATCAGATTTTGACAGTTTTCTTCGTCTTCCACTCCTGTTTTTGTCCTTGACCTCTCCGGATTCTTCAGATTTCTTTAAAACAGCTTGAGTACCACACCTGGAGTATTCAGTTTTTTTGCAGATTTTTTTCTGACATTGTGTTTTTTAATACTCTGTATATATTCCTATATTTTCTAGAATAATAAATATTCTTATATTTTCTGATAAAAAGATTGAGAAATAAATATGCAGAATATAGTCACCATGCCATTGCTAAAACAACAAACCTAATGGTGGCCTAAGACTGAACAGAACTGTACATGACCAAGAAATGCTGCAAGTCCCACATGCTTAAAGCAAGTTTCATGGTTGATTAAAAACACTGGTATATTTACACACTAAACATTATTATGTGACTTCTAGATGACATAATACAACTCCCCTAACTATAGTTATCAAACACAGGCCTGTTTTGCTCCTGTGTTCACAAACTTAATTGGTGTTTTTGGTGTTGGACCCTGTGTTCAAAAGCCTTGACAATCATTTTATGAGGTTCCAATCCAGTCAAATTTTGGTAATGGGACAAACATTTTGTATGTTGAAATCACGGACCGCACATTTAAGAGCCTGGTGGATCAGTCACAGGCAAATGTTATGTTTAATACTCTACTAGAATCAATTCTTCTTATTGACTGGTGTGAATGACCTCAACATGTAGGCCTTTCTATTTGTATTTTTGAAGCCAAATGTGGGCTGAAGCCTTGATGAAACTCTTAACAGTACATGATGGAGCATTAGACATGAAGAGAAAAGTATACTTATGTATTGTCACTTACCATAGCCTGATTTGGCAAGTAAAAAAGTATTCTGTCCTGTTTTTGTTTTGCTAAAATTAAACTCCAGAATGCTTGTACGAAACAACTTAGAGTTGTACAATATTTTGCAAGCGACTCACCCCTTATATAGTAAGAAGTGTATATATAGAGGAGGTCTTCAGTGTTCACATGATGAATCACCTGTATGCTCACAGTCCTGAATAGGTCCAGCAGCAGTTAACACATGGTCAGACAGTAGTTGGATACATAAGCATTATCCAACCATTAAAACAAGGATGAAATTATGAGAAAATGGCCAAAGGAAAATAATAATAACCTTGAGCAGGAAGAAATTTTGCTTGTGCTAGAGGATGTACATAACAGAAGATAACTAATAAGGGGAATTTAATACCGCATTATGGAAGATTTAAAATGTCTAACTTAATAAAAAAAAAAAAAAATCAGATATATAAAGTGAAATACAGCACCTTGAATGAATTTATGTTTAATGTAGAATGAAAAATTCATTCCAGGAAAATTAAAAATTAAAAGCAGTTTATTCAGTTATCAACACCTAATTAAATTTCCTTTAAACAAATGCTTTGTGTAGCTTATTCCTCTGCACCATAGATTACTAAAAGCATACCAGGGAACCACACTGCTGTACTGCGTGATATGTGTCTTCCTCATGAAATGTGAGGGCTACATTTTCCAAAAAAAGAGCTCCAAAGGCTAAGAACAGCCAATACGTTTTATGGTCTCTGAAGTAATACAGAGTTAACTTTGTTATGTGTAGCACGCGAAGCTAGCAGAGTAGTATAAACACATCTGGCCCCATGCATCACAACCCTCCTTACCTCATCATCCTCACATTCATTGTTCACCCTTCTCTCATTCTACCCTGTCTTCCTCTCACACCTCCTCCTCCTCTCCTATAGCTCTTAGCATCTCTGTTCCAGGGTATGTCCCCAGCTACCTGGAGAAGGATGAGCCATGTGTAGTGTGTGGAGACAAGGCGACTGGTTACCACTATCGTTGCATCACGTGCGAGGGTTGCAAAAAAAAGGAGAGCATCTTCCTCTTATTGCTATTATACATGAGCCAAGAAGGCTGCACAGATAAGAATGGTGTTTACTCCTTGATAAGCCCCTCCCCCAAACAGAAATGGACCAATCATAGCTTATTGGCCATAATAGGGGTGGAAGGTCTGTCAAGCTTTGGATTTCTCCACAAAGCTGAAGAGGTGTGCATGCAGGGGTTGTGATAAGAGACACATTTCATGAATAAAAAGTTCAGATGGCAGTGTACTGTATAAGTTGTAGAATGTCATGAAGATGGGTAATATGGCACAAATCTCACCTTTATGTGATTTGTCCTAGTGTATTTTGGCATCATTTTCTCCTCGTGGTGCACCAAGCAGCAGTTTGTTCAAAACCTCCAACAAGAGACATGGAGCCTTTACTGCACGCACAGTAACAAGCTCAGGTGTTCTCACCTTGAGTAATTCATTTCATCCGCTTCTCTCTCACAGTGGTCGCTCAGCTGCTATCTACACCCTCTGTCAAACATGGACACAGAGATTAGAGGTGACAGAAAAGAGAAGCTACTAATCTCATTCATTGGACTTTTAAAATGTTCCTGGTTCTTACAAACTGAGAACCCAAGAAACTTAATCAGTTGCACCGCACATATTTTTACTCGTGTATGTGCGTGAAATGCCTGCACTTTTGAATCCTGAGCTTACTTAGTGGGCTAGCTACAAAGCTCTGAATAAAATCTTCAAAAACATGATTTGAAGTATGTATTTCTTTTCTTATTGACATAACCTTGGTGGACCAATTCAAACTGACACGGAATGACAGTTTAAGTACTTTGGAATTACATGCTTGAGGTTTATTTCTTTTGCTGTCATGGTGCTCTTTCAGGGTTAAGGCTGTTTTATGGCTTTTTTAAGCTTTTTTTTGTCATCTGTCTCACAGGACTAATGTACTGCAGTTTCAACAGACATATCAGTTCATGCTGCTGATTCACAAAAATATGTGACTCTCTTAGCAAGTTTGTTGTGTTGGGAAGTGGTAAAAGTTACTCAGTCAATCATACATTTTATATTTTTATGGGCTGATAACTTTACTTTGCTGCGTATGAATATCCAGGTAAAAGCAGAAGCACTGGTAGCACTGAAGATTAGAAGAAGATGGGACTTCAGACTGAAAAGCTGGTTGGATGTGACCTGGAGTTAGGCATAAAGCAAAATAGAACATTAGATTTCTTTTAAAAATTAATTCACCCTCACTACACTATACAAGAATGACCGTTGTATTACTTAACTATTCTTGTCACATAGATCCTGCCACAGAATCATCAGCCTGCTATGTGATGTGACCTATTCAATGTACTTGTGTTGTGCTAATCAAAAACACTGATTTGTTTTTGCATTTCATACTGTTGAAAATTTCCCTGTCACTGAATGGTCTTTCTGCCTGTGTGTTTTCATTTTCTTTGATTGTCCTTTTTTGTTTCTCCCTCTTCTGTTTCTTCGTTTACTTTCCTGTGTCCAGGGTTTCTTTCGCAGGACCATCCAGAAAAACCTCCATCCATCTTACTCCTGTAAATATGAAGGCTGCTGCATCATTGACAAGCTCACCCGCAACCAGTGCCAGCTGTGTCGCTTTAAGAAGTGCATCTCTGTGGGCATGGCCATGGACTGTGAGTTATTCTTACATGTATTCTTACTAGGCCCATGAGGTTAAGGCTGCTATAGTCAATGTGCAGCAGAGCAGATACATCTTTAGCCATGCTAGTGCATGGCTGTATAGATGGCCAGTGTTGGTCTATCAGTTATGTGTATCACTTTGGTTCAGACATTAATGTCCCCAAAGAACAAATCCTACTGAACTTGTTGATCCCCCTGTGTTGTTACCATGAGATTCCCATTTTTAGCTTTAAATGAAATGTCTTGACTGTTGACTTGACTGACTATTGGATGGACTGACACAAAATGAGGTACACACATTCATGTTCTCCTAAGGAAGTGGAATTGTATTTTGGGTTTAGTGCTAATTAGCAAAGCATTACCTGCTTATCACTGTCTGCATGTTAGCACTGTCTTTGTGAGCATGTTAGCAAGATATAATGTGTGTGCAACCTTGGTAGCAGTTATGAAGCAGAGTACTCTGTTGGAAAGAATGCACAGACCAATGAGCACATATGTGCCACATTTGTCTGTATTATGTGTGTACAGGTGTACACATACAGATTGTGATCTTACTATTTATAGAGATGAATAACACTGTCAAGTACCCGTGCACATACTCAACAACATCATTTCATCTTTGGAATGATGTTAATTTAGCAGCACATCTGTTCATGTGGATATAAAGATTTTCTTTCCATGGGATATTTTTTTGAAAACACTTAATATGGAACATCTGGACTTCCAGCACACTGCACTTAAATTAGATTGCTTCAATTTAATTTACCACAGTAGCCACAGAAAAGGTGGTCCTTTAAATTTCTTTGCTGTAATATGTTTGTTGTAGGCCTGCTATTGAACACACAAACAAACAACAAAAGATATGCCTAGTAAATGCATCACAAACACACACACATTTTTGCATCTTGGCTAGTCTGTAAAAGCTTTGCTTTGTGATTTTTTTGTGGTGTAGGTGTAGATCTGAGCATCATGTACACAGCCTTGTGTACAGTATGTTATTGCTTTGTTACCTCCACCAAGGCAGAAGTAATGTTTTTTGTTAGCATTCGATGGTTTGTTGATCTGTTTGTTTACTGGGTGGTTTGTTCACAGCATAACTCAAAAAGTAATGAATGGATTTTGATGACATTTTTTGGAGAGGTAGAGTATGGCCTGCAGAACAGTCCATCATATTTTGGTGCTGATCCAGATCATCATCTTGAATACCTTTCCAATTAATAATGATATCAATGTGATTCCAAATGCTATGGGTAGGTTTTCATGGTCATGGGGTCAAAGCATCATTAAGATTATTGCTTTTACATGCAATGGCTTTATGGCGACAGTGAGTTGCCTTGGCAAAGGTTTGTGCTGTCTTAGTGCTGTCTAGTTTTATTATGTGACACAAAGACAGAAGCCTTGGATTTGTTAAATTATTTAGTTCATCTGCCAGCACAAATTCATCTGTTCTTCTGTTCTCATACCAGGAATAAATTCACTGAAAGTCATGCATTTAGTCCACGTGCATGCAAGAAATGTGAGATGATTTTTTTTTTTTCATTAGCTATGTTAAATGTGCACAGAGTGTTCAAGTACTCAAGACAGCAGATCTCTGATTAAAAGCAATTGCTGTGTGAGTCATCCAGTCACAGTGCATAAATGACTGCTAACCACACTGGTTAGGGTTCATTACAGTGTCCAAAATGCACATGAAAAACAAAAGCTGCTGTTAACAGTTGTTACTTGGCTGGGCTATATGGCCAAAAACATTTTCATAATATTTTTCATTCATTGTAATTTATTATTGATTTATGCGCGTAGTCCCATTAATGAGAAAAGAAACACGTTCAGCTGTTCAATTGTTAGAGCTCAAGAACACATGCAGTGTATTACAGTGAGTACAACTGAATGTGAACATACAGTGCAAGAAAACTCCATTGCATCATTTTTAATTAGAATTCGGTACTAATTAGTATTCAGTTTTGGATCAAGTCCCACATAAATCATGAGTTTTGATGTGGTTCTAAACAATTAGTGAAATTTTTAGTCAAAAATGTAATAATCTCCACAACCAACATAGCTTAACATACAGTATATACTTATTAGGCTCATGTAAGGCTTAGAGCTGTAATTCTTAGCCTGAACCCCACCCGACGGGTCGGGCTTAATTTCTATCATTTTTACTCAGGTCGGGCTCGCGCGTTAAATGAGTGGTCACGTGATGCGTTTCAATTAGCGCGAGAAAGATGCATTGCGAAGAACGAAGATGGATGAGGTGAAACAAAGGCTTGCCTCTGTTAAGAAAGACTCATTTTTGTTGCCGCGTTGGCCTATTTATAAATAATTAATAATTGTAATTTGTAATGTTTTTCCTTTTTTTTACTTGTAGGCCCATTTAGAGTGCTGAGATGTTCAATACGGTATCAATAAATTATGTTAAAACATGTATAAATGACTCATTCTTGGCAAAAGCTGTGTGCG